CAAAATGTCAGTTACACTGTCAAAGTATAATCTGTCACTGTTTAAATGGCAACCCTGGTTAGATACGTAATTGTTACCAGACACAAACACTTAATTAAATATAACTTATGATTCATGATTTATTCATAAGCGAAAATATTTATTGATTTACAATAACCAAGCGTAAAAAATATTATACTACATTAACTTGAAGTCCATTTATTCAGAAGCTCTATTGGCAATTAAATTGTCTATAATTGGACACGTATACTTTATACAGATTGAAATTATGATAAAAACTTCAAGCAAATATAGTTTGTGATAACTATACTAGATACTACATTTAAATTAACAAATAAACAATCTTTTTGAAGTTATACTTCTTTAGGCGCGTTATGAAAAATTGATGACAGTGAAATTTTACGATGCGCGCGCACCGTGACACAAAATTAACAGAATGAAGTTGCCCACGGAAGATGCTACGGCATTGGACATAATTTAAAAACAACATTCGAATAATAATAGAATTTATGTTACACTTAATGCAAGAGAATAATGATAAATATTTATTTATTTAATTTTTCAAATGTAAACTGAACTTTATTGACTATAATGACTCATTTTCCAGTCTTTGATTATTTAACTGTAATTAATTATTTACATGCAATCAAAAACTATTTTTAATATTGCCAAAGAAGTATAACTTCTAACGCGCGTACATAAGTACACGCACCCTTTTTTTATACATAGGTATACTAATATTATAAAGAGAACATTTGTGTTTTTGTTTCTAATGTTTTCACACAAAAATTACTGGACCGATTTCAAAAATTCTCTCACCATTAGAAAACTGCATCTTCACTGACTGACATAGGTTATATTACATTTTCAAAAAAAATTGGGATCCCTAATAAAAATGCAATAATATAACCCAACGTGTGAAAAAATTATCCATAAAAAATCTGTCGCGCGCGTTATTACCTACTTTAAATCAAGAATTTTCTAATACTTTCAAAGTATTTTTAAATTTACTAATATCGAACATTCTACGTAAATGATGATACGAATTTAAAAATGTATTAGATATATACTTATATTCGTTGTAAAGTTAAATCTAAGTTGTTAACTAAGTTAATAACATAAATCTTTTATGATAGAAAAATATATCTATGAGCAGTGTTGGCCTAGTGACTTCAGCGTACGACTCTCATACCTAAGGTCGTAGGTTCGATCCCCGGCTGTGCACCAATGGACTTTCTATGTGCGCATTTAACATTTGCTCGAACGGTGAAGGAAAACATCGTGAGGAAACCGACATGTCTTAGACCCAAAAAGTCGACGGCGTGTGTCAGGCACTGGAGGCTGATTACCTTGCCTATTAGATTTAAAAATGATCATGAAACAGATTCAGAAATCTGAGGCCAGGATCTAAAGAGGTTGTAGCGCCACAGATTTTTTTTATTTAAAATATATCTATAGTCGGACTTAGTAGGCTTTCCACTGCCACGAGATCTACGCGAGTGAAACCGCGGGGCATTGTAAGCACATAAAACTGTCTATCGTGTTTTGTTTTAGGCTAGACAAACAAAATAACACCATAAATGAGATGAAAGCTGTCAGTCCTATCCTACGTCAAGCGTGTTCCCTAATTGAAACGTCATCTTAGAAAAAAGTTCAAACGAATTCAAACCTCCTTTTCAATAGTTTTTCTCTATAGTCTGTGGACGTGACAATGGCGCGAGGCGTGAATTCAATACGAACAATGCGTGGACGGATGAATAGTTCTTTTAAAGAGGTTAACACCAAGTAGTTCGCATAGCTAATTAAGTTTTAATGATCTCTTGAGCAGCGTGTGAAAATATCAATAATATTCAAATTACTCAATTGTAATTACTCGTTGGACTGCAGATTCTTCATGAATCTAATAATAATAAGCTTTGATTCTTTTATTTTGTAAACAATTAGTAGTAAAAAGCTTTATTGATTAATTTACGTTTAAACGAGAGTTTTGAATTTATTCAGTGATAATTCTTTTACCTTGAGGATTCCAGTTGAGAGCTTGCTTGGCAATGTGACTTACAATTTATGAGTGTGGGAAAAACTATTTTTATTTTGGCTTCAAGTGTGCAATGATATTTGGTTTGCACTTATAATTAACTGATGTAATTTTCTTTTAGTATGTAATAAACAACGGCAAACGAGCGTGCAGGACGCCCAAAAAAGGCAGTCATCGCAGCCCATAGACACCCATTTTTAGTGGGTGCGTTGCCGGCCTTTGAGGCAGGAGTATACTCGAATTTTGAACATTTGGAGGTCGTATCTCTAAGGGAAGACCCCCACCGGGAGTCGTTTCCACAGTTCGCTAGTTCGCAAGAAATTCCCTTGTGAAATGGACTGTGGAAGACCTCCAACCATCAAGATGATGTTGGTGTAATTTAGAGCTCGTACGGTGTTGAAAAGAGGCAGGAGGGATTAAACCAAACAATTTTTCAGAACACTCACCGTAGTAAACTTTATAGAAAACGCAAAGAGACGCAATTTCTTTGCGTAGAGAGAGAGAGAGAGAATCAGGCCGATTAGTAAGACAGTGGAGATACTTAAATAATGTTAGGTCATATAAATCGTGTCCAATACTTCGTGTATACCTCGCAAAAAGAAAGGTTTACAATTTAAAACAATGGAACGTCAACATAACAAGTGTATTGTGACAAAAGAGAAATTGTTGAGCAAATATATCAATGGGTGGTCAGACAATTTGGTTTACAGTAGCAAGGGTAAAGAAAAGCTTTGTATTCGAACACTTTATTGATCTAAATTATGCTACCTGCTATCAAAACAAGCTAAACTTGATTCTAAGAAAAATAAACTGCAATACAACCTTTTTAGGTCTGGACCTCAGAGAAATCTGTTTTATGATTTGTCAACTAATAGGCCAGTAGGTGATCAGCCTTCTGTGCCTGACACACGCCGTCGACTAATGCAAGCCGGTTTCCTCAAGATGTTTTTCTTCACCGTTCGAGCGAATGTTAAATGCGCACATAGAAATAAAGTCCATTGGTGCACAGTTGGGGACTGAACCTACAACCTCAGGGATGAGAGTCGCACGCTGAAGCCACTTGGCCAATACTGCTCTTCTAAACTTCGAATAAAAATTTAATTAAAAGTACTTTGATTCTACATCATAGACATAACATTTCTTACAAACAAAAACACACAGAATAACAATAATCAAAGAGAGAAAAAAAATAAAATGAGAGATGACCCTTACCAGACCCTTCATCTCCCAATACATCATCCTCCTTTTTAAGCTATTGCATAGATTTTAACGCGGGCTTTGAGCGCGGCGACCGAATCAAGAAATTTCTTAACAAAAATAAAAACCTAACAAACGACGACGCAATGTAGGTGCGGCCAATACGCGTTAGAGCGGGACAGAACGCATACTGCGTATTCAGATCTCTTTGACGAGATCGGTGACGTAGCGTAAGCGCGGCCGGTACGCGTTAGAGTGAGACAGACTATATAGGCGTTTTAGTCTGAGTCTGGTAGTGGTAGATTGAATTAATATCAAAGGAAAAAATATACTGCATAAATAAATTATTATAATTGCATAAGATGATAAAAATGCTATGCTTTACCGGGATAGTCCCCGAGTGCCAAACGTTTTTTTTAAAACAGGCATTTGGTGTTAGAATTAACGTAGGCACTTGCTTCTAAAATAATTGTTTCTCTGTACGATAAGGCGAATGACCGAGTTATTATATCTTTAATTAATTTATGTATATGGGGTCGACATGGGTCCCTCACTTGACCCCAATCTTTTCATTGATTATTAGGTTATGATTTCCTTGACGCATATACTAAACAATAATACGTTATGGATATATTTTATTTTACTTACTACCAAAAACAGAAGGCTAATATCAGGATTTCGTCCTAATAATGATTTATAGTAGTAGAAAATGTAAAAAAATCTCGAAGTGAACTACTTCGAGTTGAACCTGCGACCCGTTTAAAGTGAGCCGGCAATAACATTAAGCATTAAATATAACAATAATCTTACTATCCGCTTTACTAGCAATGTACAGACAACAGAAAAAGTTACATTTAAAAGTACAGTTGTTTTCTGTTTAAATCGAAACATCTCAATATTACCATAATTCTACAGATAGTTTTTTTTTTGTTTGTAAAGACAATTCACACCAATTGACCTAGTCCCATGCTAAGCTGGTGAAGCTTGTGTTATGGGTACGGCAACGGATATACATACATATTATATATAGATAGACATATAAATACATATTTAAACACCCAAGATCTAAGCACAACACCAAATGCTCATCACATCGATGTTCGTCTCAGCCGGGGATCGAACCCGGGACCCATGGATTCGCAGTCAGGGGTACTAACCAATGAGTCGTCAAAATAGATAATTGATTTTGTAGCTTTAAACCAATTAAACTTTAATTTCAATATATGCAGTATATACAAATTTCTTAATCTACATAGTAATAATAATAATTAAAAAATAACAAATAGAAACATTAATATTAAAACACTAAAGTATTTCCGAACCAATTCGACTTAGGGTCCTTCAAGAAAAGAGCGTACCAATTCTTAAAAGGCCGGCAACGCACTCGCGAGCCCTCTGGCATTGAGAGTGCCCATGGGCGGCGGTATCACTTAACATCAGGTGAGCCTCCTGCCCGATTGCCCACTGTTATAAAAAATTTTTTTTTTAAAGTTTGGTATCTACCTTTAACGCTGGCCGCATTTCCTCGCTGTATTCTTAATAGTTAAGGAAAGCACCAGCTCTGGGGTCACCGATACACAACATACAACAGATAAACAGAAAAGCCCACCAACTTTTTCCATCCTATTTATTTTTTGGAGATATCAATATCATATCCAATTTTTACCAGCTATCATTTCCATCTCATCAGCCTATCAATCTTATTGTCGTCCCTTATTTCTTTAAATATCTGTATAACCTAATAGATAGAATAATACATTCATAAACCATGAGTGGAAGTGCTTCAAGGGAACTTACTTTTGCCAGTATTGTTCCTTGTCTTGTATCAGATATTTTGCTGACGGTACAGGGAGCAATGTCTGAGCACTCAGGGTTTATCTGCCCGGTAATGGAGCACCACTCGGAAGATATTTTTGTAAATCGGCTTTGCGCGCGCGCACGAATAATTTAAAGGCTTTTGTGTATAAGCTTCTTGATATAATATTTACTCGCCTTCATTTGGTTGTCTTCGTTGGACTGTGGTACACAGTAGACCAATGCTGTTATTACTGGATCGGATGAAAGAACTCCATCGATATTTGAGCTCCAACTCCAAGCAAACAACTCAGGAGTTCAGGCTAGGCGTTACAATTCTTCACGAATATAACAGATAAAATAAAATTCAAAAATCAAAATCGTTTATTCAGTTAAAACAATGTACACTTATGAAGGTCAATCAAAAAGAAATATATAAAATGCTTCTAATTTTACATTTAATTTCCAGTTCACAAATCAAGGGCGTAAAACGGAAAAGAAGAACTAAACTAGAGGCAATAAACTCTCCGCAACTATTTTAAAATTCTTAAACTATTCGTTCAAATTGAATGAAATTTGAAATACACCGTGTTTATACAATCCCTGATTGGAAACTGAAAATTCAGGCTTCTAATTTTATCCATAACGAAGTTATAGGGGCGAAAATGGCCTGATCTGCTTCGAAAAATGGGGCGCATTGCCGTGATCACAAATTTTGGCATCCACTTTATTATTGATGACTTTAATTTCACGCAAGATTTATGTATGATATTGTTTCAGATGTCGTAGCGGTATGAGGTGGTGGGTGTGTTTGGTGGTCGGGTGCCTGGTGGGCGTGGTGCGCGCCTGTCCCTGGGCCTGCGCGTGTAGACCTTCAGCTGCTGACTGCGCGCATCGTGCGCTCACGCATGTCCCTAGGCCTTTACCGCCTGATACCCTGAGATTGTAAGTTTTTTTTTTACATAATGGCAAGATTTCAATTGACGTGAAAGAAAGGTGTTTTGTTCTTTGATTTTGTTTACTTTTTTACACATATTACCCACACATTGTCTATGCTTGAAAACGAAATGCATTTTCGAGGGATTCCTACCAAAAATAATAATATTTTATAACTTTAGAGGTGTCAAGGGACACCCGGATGGAACGAAATTCCTTTCGATTAATTTATATGTTAATTGGTATCATAACAGTATGATAGATTTTCTCAACACCAATCTTACGACGACAAAAAAAGGCAACATCACGAGGTGTTCCCAGGCGGTCACCCATCCAAGTACTGACCTCGCCCGACGTTGCTTAACTTCGGTGATCGGACGAGAACCGGTGTATTACAATAGCAAATAGCAAAAAAGTGTCGTGACAACTTTTCGTAAGAATTTTTTCCGTCTAGCCCCCTTTCACAACGCGCGATAAGGAACTTCGTTCCAATACGTTTATGTACTATTACTTTTGAGAGTTTTGCTTACTTTACTGACAAGAGAAGGAGGGGGGACAAAAGGGGGGGCAGTAAATCTGCTTAAGTAATACTTGAACGGCCCCTGTACCTGACACTGGTCTGAGTCTCCTCACGATGTGTTTCTTCCTAGAGACTTCCTCACACATAGAGAGACCATAAGCACCAGGTTTTCAAAGTACGAGTTCAGGGATGGGACTCACTGGTTCAACATTGCTCCTTTATCCGGACAATTATTACCACTGCCGGAAATACAACCTTTTTGCTGTGTACTACTCGTGCAGTCCAGCGCCAACAATCTCCCATTCCCCGCTTACACTCGCAGCCTAATTGTTGACTCTTCAGCGGAGCTTTGTGATGCGTTTTGTAATATCAGTAGCGGTGTTAGTCTAGTGGCTTCAGCGTGCGACTCTTATCTCTGAGGTCGTAGGTTTGATCTCTGGTTGTGCGTCAATGGAGTTTCTGTGAGCATTTAACATTCGCCCGTACGAAGGAAAACATCGTGATATAACCGGCCTTAGACCCAAAAAGACGGCGTTTATCAGGCACATCTGATCACCTACTTGCCTATTAGATTGACAAATCATGCAACAGACACAGAAATCTGAGGCTCAGACCTAAACCGGTGGTAGCGCCACTGGTATCTGGTAAATATATCAAAAATCACTTATTTGAATAATAGTTTTATGATATTTTTAGTTGAAATTCGGCCATACATAATATAAATAAATAAATTTCATGAAGGAAATAAATAGCGAGAAGGTTGTATTAAATATTGTTTCTATATTGGGTATTACCGCAATGTGAAGCGCACTAGTTCACGTGTCGATAACTTTCCATTTTCCTTTATTGCACTTTATTAGAATGGGGTGTGCACAGACTAATACATACAGAGGCTACTATTTTATTTATCTACACTTTGCACAGAATAAACAAAGGTTATGAAAACAATGGATTAATCTAATATAATGTTTATTATGTTATGGTGTTTCGCAAGGTCCACAGTATGGCCCATAAACCTTCCTAATGTATCATTCTAGATAGTGTAAACAGAAATATTCCATGCAGTATTTTTTGAGTTCGTCTTGTATTATAAAATATTAAAATTAGATATAGGCCGTCGCTTTTGGAGGCATTATCAAGCTGTACAACTTTTCTCTAAAACTCAATCATACAGTTAAGGCAGGTTTCATAAGAAACGTTTTTTTTATTGTCTCTCCGACTACTACGAAACAGTCTATTTACCTTGTGTACGTATCAATCACAAATAACGTGGCTATCTGTTAGTAAATGAATTTTCAAAATCTGTTCAGTAGATCAAGAGATTCCCCCTACAATTAAGTCTATAAATAAATAAATAAATAATAAAGCCTTTAATCAGATAGAAAATAATAACATAATTTTAAACTTAAACTTAACACTAGTGAGTCGGTGACACCGACAACCCATCTGTTTGCCCAACTTTGGCAAAGGCCTCCTCCATTTCTCTCCACTCTGCTCTGTTCTGAGCTTTCCTGGTCCAAATTTTCCCAGTTACGGATTTTATTTCGTCTTCCCATCTTCGAAACTGTCTACCTCGTTTTCTTTTATTATTTCTTGGGTACCAATATATGATCTTTTTGTTCCACTTTTCTATACCTCTTATTACGTGACCAGCCCATTTCCATTTCAATCTTCGTATCCTCGTTGTGACGTCTTCAATCTTCGTGTGGTTTCGTATGATTTTATTATTGATTCTGTCGGACTTCCTGATATTTAGCATGCTTCTTTCCATCGCCGTCTGGCATGTCTTCAATTGCCTGGTTTGCATTTTAGTGAGTGCCCAAGTTTGGCAGCCGTATGTTAATACCGGAAGTATGCAAGTGTTATACAGCTTTGATTTGACATTTATTTTTATTTCTGTGTTTTTCATGATTTCGCTAAGCCCCCAGTAACATTTCCACGCTTTCCCAATTCTTGTATCAATTTCCTTCGACATTATACCAGTGGTTGAGATCTGTTGGCCCAGGTATGTGTACTCTTTCACATAATCAATTGACTCTCCATTTACTATAATAATATCTTCTGATGCATTCGTCATGGCTTTAGTTTTTGAGGTGTTCATTGTTAGCCCTACCTTGCGGCTTTTCCTCTCCAGGTCTGTAATCATAATTCTTAGATGCTCTTTGTTTGTAGCAAATAGTATGATGTCATCGGCGAATCGTAGGTGTGTTAGTTGTTCCCCGTTTATGTTTAGTCCGTACCCATCCCATTTTAATTCTCTGAAGATGTCTTCTAGTACAGCTGTGAATAATTTAGGTGATAGGGGGTCTCCTTGACGTACACCTCTATTTATTTTGATTTCTTTTCCTACTTTTTCTAGTTTTATTCTAGCGGTACTATTCGTGTATATATTTTTTAATATTCTGATGTACTTTGGGTCGACTCCTTGATTTTTGAGGCAGTGCCAGATATTTTCGTGCTCTATTGAGTCGAATGCCTTGTTGTAGTCTATGAAGCAACAATAGAACGGCACATTGAATTCTTTGGTTTTCTCAAATATTTGTCTTACCGTAAGTATATGGTCTAATGTTGAATATCCCGCCCTGAAACCAGCCTGCTCTATAGGTTGATTTTCGTCCAGATTTCTGGTTATTCGCCGCAAAATTACTTTCGCAAAGACTTTATAGATGTTTGACATTAAGCTTATCGGCCTATAATTGTTCATGTCACTCCTGTCACCTTTTTTGTGGAGGAGGATGATCGTTGATGTGGTCCACTGTAACGGAATTTGTTCAGTGCTCAGTATATCGTTAAAGATGTATTTTAGTAGTGGTGATATCTCTTTTTTGCAGACTTGAAGCATATCATTATTGATCCCGTCAGGGCCGGAAGCTTTATCCTTCTTCTGGGATTCAATTGCTTTGCTTATTTCTGCTTCTATTATATGAGGAACATTATCGTTGCTAGTTAAGTCTATATTGTAAGTATGATATTTGCTGGAGTAAAGGTTCTCATAGAATTTTGTGGCTATTGATAAAATATCCGATCTGATAGTCCTTGTCTTGCAAAATTGGTCTTTCATATTAGGTATCCACTTTGTATTGTCAGATAAGAGCTTAAGAGCCTTTTTTATGCCACCCGTCTTGATGATATGTTTTTCAAAAGTGTCACGTCTAAGACGTTCTCTGTCTCTTCTCATTTGGCTCTTAATTTCTTTGCTAGTTTTTCCTATTTGTTCTCTGATAGATTTTGTTTTGTAAGTCATTTTAATTAATTTTGATCTTTTTTCTATGAGGTCTTTTGCTTTAGCTGATATGTGGCCATTGTCCTGTGATTTGGTTTTAGACGTGGTTTTCGATCTTGCTGTTAGTATCTCGTGTATTATGTTGTATTTCTCTTGAGTTTTTAGGTGCTCGAGCGATGATACCTGCACGGACTTGAGGTTTTCTTTTATGTTGGCAATACTAGTGTTGCTGCACATTGTGGATGTTTTAATTTTGAAGGGTCGACATAACTTTAAACTAAATGATGCGTTTAAACACGCTCTAAGCATTCTATGGTTACTGTTGAAGTTAAGGGTAGAGATGGTGCCACAGTCGTCGATTGATTTGGGTCTGTTCGTTAAAAAGTAGTCTATTTCATTTTTGTATCGACCATCTGGTGATATCCATGTCCATCTTCTGGAAGCTCTTTTTTGAATACACTATTCATTATTTTCATATTATTTTCAAATGCCATTTCCATCATCTTTTGCCCGTTTCGTGTTCGTTTTCCAGTACTGTAAGGACCTAGTACGACATCTTCACCGTTTCTTGGGGTTCCAACACGTGCATTGAAATCGCCCATTATAATGCAGTTTTTGTGTGTGTGTTCTTTTAGGGCGGTGTTAAGGGATGAGTAGAAAAGGTCGATCTCTGAACTCGTTGATTGCTCAGTTGGTGAATATATTTGCACTATAGACCATGTTTCTCTGCCTGGAGGGATTCTAACATTCAATATAGCGATCCTTTCTGATATGCCGATTATTTCCACTATAGAGTTTTTGAGTTCTTTCTTGATCAGGAAACCTACTCCATGTCTTCCTGGAGTTTCACCTTTATAATATAATATGACTTCATCGTATTCCTGAATTGATTCGCCAATCCTTCTTACTTCGCTCAGGCCTATAATGTCCCACTTAATATTTTTGATAGAATATAGAAGTTCTTTAAGGCTTTCTTCAGACTTTAGGGATAATGTGTTGAATGTGGCTATATATATTTGTTTGGTGTAAAATTGTTTCTCAGTTGCACAAGTATTCGTTTTAGGTGTGGGAGTAGGAGTAGTATTTGGAGGGTAATGGTCGCTTTCCCCCACGGTGACCAACCGTCTTGGGGTGATTGCTTTCAATGTTTCTTTGGCTAAGTGTGTTTCTATTGTTGGGTTGGGTTTCCTGTTGTTGTCGGCGTCTGTTGAACGTTTTTTGATGTTGATGGTGAAGGTAGTGACAGTGATCTACCACGTGCTACGTAGTC